CAGGGTGGGGGTCCCGCTGGGGTGCCTGGCCAGCCTGGATGAGGGGCTGAGGGCCGTTTTCACACAGCCCCCAGCCACCCAAGCTCCCAGTGGAGGCTGGCTGGAAGCAGGTATCTGGGATTTATTTAGCTTCTATAATTGAAACTTTGTTGCCTTTTGCGGAGGCCACAGCAGGGAAGCTTGGCTTCCTCCATCGCTGAGACAACCAAGCCTCCTTCTTGCTCCAGCTTCGTGGCTGCCATCTTGGTTGGGGTACTTTGCATATAGTCTCTCTGATTGGCTGGTGGGCGTGGCTTGGGTGTAGCGAAGGTATGGTCAGTTAGCGTCTTTGTCTTTTATTAGTGTAGATGAGAGCAGATGTTTTTGTCTGTGTGTTCACTGCTGTGTCTCCAGTGGTAAGACAATGCCTGGCATCTAGTAGTTGCCTAACATTTGTCGAATGAACAAATCTGTAACCGTCTGCCTCACCAGTGGGGCCTCACGGTCACAACCTGAGGATATGTTGTTATTGATCCTGGGCGGGGCTGACTGGCTGGCACTACACAGCCTGTGGGTGGCTCCAGCAGGTGCTCTTCACCCATCACACCCTTCACGGCCCTGCTTGGTATTTGTGTGGAATTAAAGTCACAGTAAACATCTCGTCATACTCCCACTTTTGAGGAGAGAGAATACACCAATCTGTAAGTAAAGTGAGACTTTAGAGCGGAACTTAACATTTCCCCGGCTTTATTGGTATTGGCAGGTGATTCACCCTAAAAGCGATGAACAGAGATGCAGACTTCAGGAAGCTTGCAAAGATATTCTCCTTTTCAGAAATCTTGACCAGGTAACGTTGATTTTAAAAATGTTTTTGTCGTTCAGCTTTTTCCTGTTTATCATTTAACTAGTTTTCGGGGTCTTAGCGGCAGCCACGTGAGGCATAAGCTTGAGAGGCGCCTCGCTTCCACATGTTTGTGCTGTGGTGACCGCCGTAACCACGGAGCCGTTCAGATGGCTTTGAGGATTTCTCGGGATGCGGTGACACTCTCCGGGCAGTTCCCTCGGAGACGTGCCGTTTGGTCGTCTAAGAAGGAAATGCTCAGGTTCGCGTGGCCTGGGCTTAGTTTGAAGGTCCCGACTCCCCTTCCAGGGTAATTTCTTCAGAGATACCAGAGAGGCGTTCTCTTCATCAGCGCCAGCGAACCCGCAGGAGTGCACTGCTTCTCAGACTTAGGTGGGCCCTCCTGGGGTTACTTCTCACTGAGACCTCGGGCCGGGGCCACACAGAGTGAGGATCTTCAGGGCCCGAGCGTAGGGATCTCTGCGTGGGCTTCTCTTCCCTGCCTTGTGGCCATAGAGAGCGGGACCGCCTCCTGAAGACAGAGAGCCTTCCATTTTCCTGTATCTTCTCTACTTTGAGGGCCCCACGAATGGCTGAGATGCTCAGCCCACTGGGGAACCCCCGCATATGAAGACACAGGAAGGATGGGATTAGAATTCTGTACCACCCAGCTCCTGCAAATAAGTCTTCTGAAGACACTCCCACACTCCTCCCTGGGAATCTGTGACTGTCAGTCAGAGGAGTCACGCAGCCCTGGGGAAGCACTCTGCTTGCCAGCTGTGTGGTCACCGCAAGCCTTCCTGGTTCGCATCTGTCCGCTTGTACAGCATCAGCACACATGGAGCCGTGGGACTAAAGAGATGCCTTTTGGTGATACTCAGTTATTTTAGGTAGCACGGCATGGTCACACTGACCGACAGTAAATCACACGAAATTATTCAGCAATAAAGTTATTTCCTAGCCAGGGGTTCAGTCCACATGCCTCCAAAGAGGACGTCTTTCTTTGAGTCGAAGCTGGTATTCTTCAGTGCCCCCAGCAGTCACTGCTCTCCCTGTCTGACAGAGGCCCGACTCCAACCAAGGCTTTGTTAGAATTTAACAGCACTGTTTTGTGCTTATACTTATTGGTATAGTTACCTTCTGGTTGTGGCAGGTAATATTGGTAGGTAAGTAGTTATATGTGTTGTAAAGAAATGATTGAAGCAGTATTAGCTGTCTGGTAGTAGATCTCATTTATTGAGTTCCTGTTATGTAGTACTTTCCTTAGATTTTTTTTCCTCTAGGCATAAAAAATGGATAAGCTAGGAACAATTAAGCCACTTTATACATATGAAAAAACTGAGGCTCAGAGAGGTGAGGTGATGTGCTTGGCCAGTCAGAGCAGCTCCAAAAGTAACTTCTTCTAACGCCATGCCAGCCCCTTAGATCTGATGATCCTGTTAAATTAGCACCTGTAAGAAGGTGACGTCATATGACTTTACACATCACATAGTGGAGCCATCAAGGCCAGCACAGTCCTGTGGGTGCAGCTGGGAGAACGGGGCACCACGACTTAGATGCCTGTTTTTGCTTAAATTAACACTTAGCAAGTGTGCTGTGTACGTGGGGGCACAAAGCTGAGGGGTCACAGGAGAGCACTCGTTTCAGACCGCCCTTCAGTTCTGCTTGAAGAGGGGATGGTCTGATTTGGGGGCCTCACTCCATAATCACCAGCTGAATAAGCATCGTCACCCCCCGCCCCCCCACAAGTGTAACGGCTGTCTTTTCTCCCGCGCGCCTGCAGGAGCAGCTGTCTGAAATCCTCGATGCCATGTTTGAAAAGATAGTGAAAGCTGATGAGCATGTCATTGACCAAGGAGATGACGGAGACAACTTCTATGTCATAGAACGGTAGGCGATGGGCTTTGCAGTGGTGCGGCTGCACCTACTGACTGAGGACAATGCTGCCCCCTGTGCTTGTTCCGCTCAGAGAGGACGGAGGCAGAACTAGCTCCCCAAGCGTGCCCACCTCTGTCCACAGCCTCCCTCCCTCTCCTGCTGCCCGGAGTCCTCAGTGCATCCAGCTTGGGTGGCCACTGTGTACAGTAGAAAGTCTCCTTTACAGTAAGGCAAATGTGCTTCTTTATTTTATTTATTTTTATTATTATTTTTAACCCTCACCCAAGGATAATTTTCCATTGATTTTTAGAGAGTGGAAGAGAGGGACAGACAGACAGAAACCTCTATGTGAGAGAAACACATCGATTGGTTGCCTCCTGTACGAGTTCCGACTAGGGCCCAAGCCAGGGAGGAGCCTGCAACCAGGGTACGTGCCCTTTGACTGGAATTGAACCCGGGGCCCTTTGGTCTGCAGGCCGATGCTCTACCCACTGAGCCAAACCAGCGAGGGCGGCAGGATGTGCTTTTTAAACATTTTATTTGCCAGTGTTCAAGGAAATTGGTTTCCTGAAGAATAACTGTGATTCTGTGTTACCATCCGTATCTTTCAATCCCAAATTGTGAGCCCCATCTCCAATAGGGGACATGCAGGGGCAGCCAATCGATATTTCTCTCTCATCCATGTTTCTATCTCTATCCCTCTCCCTTCCATCTCTCTCTAAAAAGCAATAAAGAAAAACAAACTTTAAAAAAGAGTGAAGGTCATGTTTAAAAAATAAAAGAAAAAAGCCCTTACCGGTTTGGCTCAGTGGATAGAGCGTCGGCCTGTGGACTCAAGGGTCCCAGGTTTGATTCCGGTCAAGGGCATGCATGTACCTTGGTTGCAGGCACATCCCCAGTAGGGAGTGTGCAGGAGGTGGCTGATCGATGTCATCGATGTTTCTAACTCTCTATCCCTCTCCCTTCCTCTCTATAAAATATCAATAAAATTTATTTTTTAAAAAAAGGTTTCTTACTCGCATAATGAAGCTTTTTAGGGAGAGCAAGGCAAGCCCCCAGGAAGTCCAAAAATGACTCGGAGAAGTGACGGCTTGGAATTTCATGGGGTTAGAGGGAGGGGCTGGGGGAGGGCACTCTTCGGTGGGGCTGGACTTGCGGTCAGGGAGAGGAGGAAGGCAGAGGCAGGGCTTGAGAACGAGACAGGCCAACATCGGAGTGGAGTGGACTGTCACACTCACCTACGCATGCTGTTTTGTTGGGTCACACATTGTTGTGTGGCCTGGTTTTAAGTAGTTTGCCGGGGGATGCAGTAGTGTTCCGTCATCATTTATATTGACTATATAATGTGAACATAGACATGTATTTGAGCTATCCCTGATTGTTAGCAGATTAAATTGTAATTTTTGCTGTCAAAATATTACCTGGTGAGCATTCCTATAATTAAATATTTTTCAGTGTCTTTGATTATATTCTTTAGAATTCTCTCTAGAAATGGAATTGCTATGCCAATAGATCTCTTTAAGCAATTTGCTATATGTTGTTCATTATCTTGCAGAAAATTTGAAACATTTACATTCGCCTCAGTGGTATATTGAGAGAGTATATTTGGTATATTTCTCCAAATGCTTGTCATTTCTGAATATTTTATTTAGCAATTATCAATCAACAGAGAAATTGTATTTGTGGGGATTTTTTGTTTTTGTTTTTGTTTTTTTACTTTAATCAGTTCTACATCCTAGTTTTCAACAGACTGAAAGACAACCCATGCAATCATTTCAGTACCTGCAGGAAAAGCATTTGACAAAATTCAACACCTTTTCTTTTTTAAAAATATATTTTATTGATTTTTTACAGAGAGGAAGGGAGAAGGATAGAGAGTTAGAAACATCGATGAGAGAGAAACATCGACCAGCTGCCTACTGCACACTCCCCACTGGGGATGTGCCTGCAACCAAGGTACATGCCCTTGACCGGAATTGAACCTGGGACCCTTGAGTCCGCAGGCCGACGCTCTATCCACTGAGCCACACTGGTGAGGGCTCAACACCGTTTCTTGATCAAAAACTCTCCACAGCCCAACTGGCATAGCTCAGTGGTTGAGCATCGACCTATGAACCAGGAGGTCACAGTTCGATTCCCGGTCGGGGCACATGCCCAGGTTGTGGGCTCGATCCTCAGTGTGGGGCGTGCAGAAGGCAGCCGATCAATAATTCTCTCTCATCGCTGATGTTTCTATCTCTTTCTCCCTCTCTCTTCTCTGAAATCAATAAAAATACATTTTTAAAGATATATATATTTTTAAAAATCTCCACAACTAAAACAGAAAGGACTTTTCTCCAACCTGATTAAAGGCATTTTTAAAAACCTATAACTGCCGAAACCGGTTTGGCTCAGTGGATGGAGCGTCGGCTTGCGGACTGAAGGGTCCCAGGTTCGATTCCGGTCAAGGGCATGTACCTGGGTTGCGGGCGCATCCCCAGTGGGAGATGTGCAGGAGGCAGCTGATCAGTGTTTCTCTCTCATCGATGTTTCTAGCTTTCTATATCTCTCCCTTTCTCTCTGTGGAAAATCAGTAAAAATATATTAAAAAAAAAAAACACCTATAACTAACATCATGCTTAAAGATAAAAGATTGAGTGTTTTACCTTTAAACAAAAGAGAACAAAACAAGAATGTCTGCTCTCATCACTTCTCCTTCATATTGTATGTAGGTCCTGACCTAGCCAGTGCAATGAGGAAAGGGGAGGGAGGAGGGCAGGTGGGCGGCATGTAGATCGGAAAGGGAACAGAACCCTGTTTACGATGACACGACCCTCTAGACTCTAGAGCAGCTGTGGGCAAACTACGGCCCGCGGGCCGGATGCGGCCGTTTGAAATGAATAAAACTAAAAAAAAAAAAAAAAAGACCGTACTCTTTTATGTAATGATGTTTACTTTGAATTTATATTAGTTCACACAAACACTCCATCCATGCTTTTGTTCCGGCCTCCGGTCCAGTTTAAGAACCCATTGTGGCCCTCGAGTCAAAAAGTTTGCCCACCCCTGCTCTAGAGTGTAGAAGAGAAAGCAGTGCTACCAAAAAAGCTACCAGTTGAGTTTAGCAAGGTCAGAGACTACAAAGTCCAAATGCAAAGATCTGTTGGGAATCCCCTATTACAATGTTTTCTATCTTACATACCTTCTGTTCATATACTACCTACCATTCTTAAATTTATTGTTAGAATTAGTAAGTGAAATTGTTTGTTATTGTACTTTCAGGGGAACTTACGATATTTTAGTAACAAAAGATGATCACACCCGTGCTGTTGGTCAGTATGACAACCGTGGAAGTTTTGGAGAACTCGCTCTGATGTACAACACCCCACGGGCTGCTACCATCGTGGCCACTTCCGAGGGCGCCCTGTGGGCGCTGGTGAGTAGAGAGAGGTTCCCTGCGTGGCCCAGCGTGGATCCCTCTGCTCCGGGGTTTCTGTCCTTGGTGTTGGTGCTCCCTGCGTCTTGTGGCCAGTTGTCTGGGAGACGATGTGGAAGGCCTGGTACCAATATATTCTCCATTTCTCCAAAGGGCTTTGTCAGCAAACCGTTTACTCCAAGCCACAGGGCAGTGACGGGGCTGATGCCCTCACAGTCCTGTCAGCTCTTGTCACATTTTCTGTTGATTTTTTTGAGACAAGTAGAAGGAGAGCGGGGACAGCTTTCTGTACTGGAGACAGCCTAGCAAAGGGAGCCATTGGATGCTCTGCCCGCAGCATTTCGCATCTCTAGCTCCAGCACTAACTTTTCTCTCTGTTCAGCCATCTACTTGTGCATTGGCCCATGCCAATGTCCAATAGATTTAGATGACTAGAAGGCTGACGGCCATATTTGGGGAAAGAGAACTTTCCTAAAATGTCTTAGGCACAGCACAGCTGTGATCCTGTCCTTTATTGTGCATGACCTACCTTCCTTCAAAATATATAACTCTCTCCCTTTTTAAAAAAAATACATATTTTATTGATTCAGAGAGAAGGGGGGAAGAGGGAGAGAGAGAGAGATCATGGATGAGAGAGAATCATTAGCGGCCTCCCGCATGCCCCAGTGGGGATCGAGCCCGAAACCCGGGCCTGTGCCCTGACCAGGAATCGAACCATGGCCTCCTGGTTCATAGGTCGACGCTCAACCACGGAGCCCCGCCGGCCGGGCCTCTCTTCCTTCTTAACGAAACATTCTCTTGTACACATTTCATATTTCACTTTTAAAACATTGGCTTCTATAATTTGTTTCTATTTACCTTGCAAGCAGAATTAAATGTATACCCTAGAATTATCAACATATTTCCTCAAATGAAATAGTTTTTTGAAAACACATTTTAAAGTATTAATAGAGCACTTCACTGTGACTTAAGAAAATAAGAATGTCCCGAGAGATGATGATAGAATGGCTTCAGAATTGATCACACACTTTGGACTCAGTGGTTGGGAAACTCAGGATGGATCCATAAGGAATGCGGGGAAGTGAACTCTGTTATAAAATGCACTGGTGTTGCCCTGGCTGGTGTAGCTCAGTGGGTTGGGGGGAGCATCGTCCTATACAGCGAAAGGTGGCAGGTTCAATTCCCAGTCAGGCACATACCCAGGTTTTCAGTTTGATCCCTGATCCGGGTGAGTATGGGCGGTAACCGACTTCTCTCTCTCTCTTTCTCTCCCCCACCCCCCTTCCTTCCTTCCTTTCTAAAATCAATAAAAACATATCCTTGGGTGAAGATTTAAATAATTTAGTAAATAAAATAAAATGCATTGATGCTGACTGCGGGTCCAGGCCGATGTGGAATAACCCTATTCCTCAATATTCTTATCTCTTAAACTAAAAACCTCTACATGTCACACAACCAACAAGCAGGGAGATCCTGGAGGTGGAAGGAGAAGGCGCTGGCTGGGTCTCAGCTCTTCAGGGAGGACTTGAGGACGGCCGGGCGGTAGGAACGCCCTCACGCGCTCGCAGGCGCAGGAGGGCAGCGGTTCTGTCTCTCTTGATCCTCAGGGTTATTTGCTTAACTCTGAGCGCGTTGCCTGAGGGAGCGGCCACTGCACAGGGGTGTGTGTGTGTGTGTGTGTGTGTGTGTGTGTGTGTGTGTGTGTCCCCACCTTTGGAGGGCCCTGGAAGCTGGTGGATGTGTGGCAGGAAGGGCCTTGCACAGCATGGAGTTCTGGGAAGTGTGAAAGCAGGCGTGGAAGGGGTGGGACCTGAATGAAGTCGCTTAGAAGGTATCAGCTGTTTCTTCTTCAGCTGGAATAGCTTGCTGTTGCCATTGTAGTGATCGCTAACAGTCCATTGTCGATAGATTCTTAAGGATGTTGTTCTTTTGGACATGCCTACTCAAACACAAGGAAGGGAACTTTTTAATTCCTATTTTCCAGAACAGCCTGGATTGTTCTCTTTCCACAGCACTCTTGGTCTAGTTTGGCCCAGAAAACATGTAGAAACTGAATTCTAAAGATAATGGAGTAATATTCCAAAGTATAAAAGTAACATTTTAAATGATATATTTCTAACCTTGGACTTCAAAAAAGTAGTGGCATGTAATGCAGCCATTATAGCAAGCAGACCGCTAACGAAAATGGGGCGGACCCTGGCAGAGTGCTGGTGAGCAGGCACTATTTGTACAGCAGTTGAGGGAGGTGGGGGCCTGCATGGTCACAGGAGGCCTGTAGGATGCAGTAGGTGACGTCTATAAGGCAGAGCAAACATAGCAAGGGATCGGGCGTGGACTTTGGTACTTAATGAAACAGGAGTAAAATAGCAAACCTACAGCTTCACGTGCCTTTAGCTTCTTGCTGTTTTTCACCCTGCCAGCCTTTGGGATGTCCTTACTGTGTCCTCCCCAACCCCAATGTGTTTTCCACGCCTGGCAGCCTGAGGTAGAAGAAAACTACCATGAACCTAGGTACACGTAACCGTGTGACCATTTAGAAGCCTAAAACGCATCAATCAGCATTCTCCTGGCTGCATGTCCCTCCTCGCGTCTCCGAGAGGTGCCTGGCTATGGCTCTGGTTAAGTCTCCCAAGTATGAATCCATGACTTAGTGGGTAAGGTACCTTTCACATGCCTGCCTTCCATCCTGAATTTCCTCCCCTGTCTCTATTTAAATTCTACCCCTCCTACAAATTTATAACTATCTGTTTTGTATTGTCTCCTCATTGAGATTGTAAAGTCCTTGAGGGCAAAAGCCACCTGATTGTTGTATCTCCTTTTTCTTAGGCGCATCCGTTCACATTGAGCAGCGACAGGCTGGGAGCTCACAGATGTTGGGGAGTTTCCACTTTATATTCTGTTTCTGACCCATAGGTGGCGCCTGTAGCAAGCAACAAGTGCGACCTCTTTCTGGCTCAGGCTACAGCTTTTTCTCAGATTGAAGTGTCTGCCTTAGTACCTTTCATAGTCCGGATATTGGCTGTGGCCCGGTTAGTGAAAGCAGAGGTGTCCTCTTCCACCAGCATTTACCAGGATTTCCATATTCTTTCTTGTAGGACCGGGGGACTTTTAGAAGAATCATAGTGAAGAACAATGCACAGAAACGGAAGATGTTCGAATCATTTCTTGAGTCTGTGCCCCTCCTTAAATCACTAGAGGTAAGGTTCATTGACTGTGACTCTCTTCATGGGGGCTCAGAGCCGCTGTTAACGGTCCTGTTGTGGAGATTTCCAAAGCTCTTGTCATCCTGTGTGCAGATATCCTGTGACTTTCAGTTGAGGTCTGTTCCTTGTAACGTGTGCGTATTGTTCCAGGCGTCGGAGCGAATGAAGATTGTGGATGTGATAGGAGAGAAGGCCTATAAGGACGGAGAACGCATCATCGCGCAGGTGAGGCCGAGTCACCGCGGCAGCGCTGTCCGCTCGCGTCTGGAGGCTCGGGTTGCACGTGCTGGGCCCGCTTGCTGCAGCTCCTCTGTTGCCCTGGAGGTGCCTCTTGCTGGCATGCCCGCCGCGGCCTTCACCACCTGTCCTTGGCTTCTGGGATGGGTTCTCCCGGATTGTCATTTTCTTTTCCCTCTAAACTTCATTTGTGGCCGCCAAAACCTGGGGAAGGTCGGAAAGCTGTGCCCTTCACCTTCTCCCATATCTGCTTGCCTACCTCTCCCCTCCTTCCAGCCTGTGCACTAACCTCACCTTCTCAGTGAGGCTCTGTCGGTCCTGTAGCCATCTCCTCCGTCGCCCTCCACAGTCCCTGCTCCCCTTTTTCCTGTAGCACTTTCCGCCTCCCAACACAACAGCATAATTTACCGATTACTGTGTTGATTGTTTACAGTTCATGCCACCAGACTCTAAGTTGCACAAGGGCAGGGATATTCGCTTTGTCCACTGATGTAGCTCACATTCCTGGACTAGAACAGTGTCTGGCACGGAGTGAGCCCGTAATTATTTGTTGAATGACCTGAATGACTAGTTCAGTGAAGTGGGTTAAAGTCAAAACAAGCCAAAGAAAAGCCTGAGGCTCGAAGGGAGACATTAGGCCACATCAAAACACCTTCCTCGCCACAACGAGGCCCCCACCAGATCCACGCTGTCCGAGGCTGCGTTTGGTCAGTTACACTGGGGCTCCGTGACCCAGGGTGGCCAGGAGTCGCCCAGATGTTGCCTGGAGCAGCCTCGGCTGCTGGTCCCTTGTCACAGGCTTCAGTAGTGAGCCGGCACGAGCAGTGAGGAAGCCGGTGCTCTGTGCAGGGAGCCTGGGCACCGTCGTGGAGGAAGCTGGGACTGTTCCCTGCCGGGAAATGTGTGTCAGTTACATCGGACTGATGTCCCGTCATCAGGATTCTCTCATTTTGGTCTGGATTTTTAGCCATTGATTGACTTGTAGGTTGGAAAAGAAATCAAATCAGAGCTCAGGCAATAACAAATGGCCGACTTCTGTGCCCCTCTTCAGTGCTTATGTTCCTGACCTCCTTTCCGTTTCAGGGTGAAAAGGCTGATAGCTTTTACATTATAGAGTCTGGTGAAGTGAGCATCTTGATTAAAAGCAAGGTGAGTTGACGTGTGACGATGCAAGTTATTCCAGGGAAGACCCAGATGCCAGTGGTACGCACAGAAAGCAGCTGTTTGCTTTACATAATGTGAAGTGTGGTCAGTGTGCCAACACCCTCATTGGTAGGTAAGGTGTGTGACCGACAGAGACCCCGGTTCAGGCCTGTCCAGTGGTGGGGACTCAGCGTATTTCTTCTTGTCCCTGTTGCCTTTGTCTTTGCTGTGTAATCAACGATGTGAGAAACATTGCCCTATAAATCCATAGAAATAAACATCCTCATGGAAGATGGGTGGGATTATACAGTTAAGAAGTACATGTAGGTGTTGGACATGCAGAGAGCTTCCTTTGTGGAGCCCTGGGCGGGGACGTCTCCAGGACGATCGTTATCCTGGCTGTTTGATGGGCAGGGAGACCTAGAGACCCAGGACTGTAGGAGGGAGAGTGATCTCACCATAAATACACCATCACCAGATGTCCCTGTTCCCATTGTTTTGAAGAATATAGAATTTGTTCACGTAGTGAGTCATACCTAATACTAGCAGCCTAGTAGGAAGCCTCTGGAGAACATCTTCATTAAACGCTCAGAACGGAGAAAGAAAGAAAGAAAATTACGAGGATTGCTTAGCAGATGGCTTGATTGCTAACTTAAAACAGACCTGCTGTTTCCCATGTCCTTCACTCACAGTGCGGGCTGCTGACCATGTCTGCATTTCTCAGGTGTTCACTGCCACACACCGTGTGGGACAGCAGCACTGTGGCCCTGGGGACTCGCGAACTTGTCGGGAATGCAGGGTCTTGGGCTCTGTCCCAGCCTACGGAGCAGCATCTGCACTGTCACAGACCCGAGGGCTCTGCTCTTGGTGTGACCGTGCAGCAAGTGCTGTTCCAGGAAAGAGACAGGGCACGCATATCTGTACTCCCAGAGACTGCTACGGACACAGGAGGGAGCGTGGGCGTGAACGGGGCAGGTTGACAGAAGAGCAAACAGGTCAGGGCAGGAGTGTGGAAAGATGGTCAAGCCGTGTAAGCTCGTGTGGCACTTTTATTTTTCTAAATAAACCCTCAAAAAACATCTATCTACCCATAACATAAAGTTTCTCTTAGAGATTTGAGACTAATTCTTACTAAAAATTCTAAACAATTATTTATTTATTTATTTATTTTTTTAAATATATTTTATTGATTTTTTACAGAGAGAAAGGGAGAGAGATAGAGAGTTAGAAACATCGATGAGAAAGAAACATCGATCAGCTGCCTCCTGCACACCCCCAACTGGGGTTGTGCCTGCAACCCAGGTACATGCCCTTGACCGGAATCGAACCTGGGACCTTTCAGTCCGCAGGTCGACGCTCTATCCACTGAGCCAAACCGGTTTTCGGCTAAATAATTATTTACTTGAACAAGTTATTGCTTAGTTCAGCAGAGGAATTTGTTTCTTTAAAAAAGGAAACTCTAGATATTATGTACATATAGTACATTATTCATTCTTTTCAGTAACCTGATAAGCATGGATTACAACCTGCTTGATTTCTTAATACAGAGTTAATCCACCGAATTTTAAGGTCAGACATTATTTTAAAAAATATTTAGTTACTTAATTCTTCTTTAAAAAAACTTGAGATGGGACCACTAACTTAAGAAGTAGGCAATACCAAAAAGAAAGTTGGCACTGCACAGTGTGTCCTGGAAAGTCATGGCCTCCACTCAAAAGCTGCAGCCCAGGACGGGGCCCTCTCCCTGAGAAAAGCGTGGCGTTTAGAGAGAACTGGTAAGACGCTCTTTCCCCCCGTGCCAGGGAAGCCAGCATCTAGCAAACCAAGAGGATTCATATATGATTATAAAATATACTCATATTAATATGTTAATATGTTAATGCATATTAACATTATAATAGTAGCATATATTATTATATAATATACTATAATGGTGTGCTATATATAATTAGTTATATATAATTGTAACATCGTATGTTGTACACAACATGCTGACTATGTTAGAACTGCTCACAGCACAGTCATGTGAAGCATATAATAATAATATATGTAAACGTCCAAAAGGAAACGGCCTGTGGCTTACCTCCTGCTGTTCAGCTACTACCCGAGAGGATGGGACTCAGGAGGCCCCAGGTGAAAGCCAAGCCACTGACGCGGCCCATGCAGTTCCCCTGGTGCAGCTGGGGTCCCGGCAAAGTGCATTTCTCAGTAATTTGTTGCTCTAGTAAGGGGGGGATTAAGTGTGTGCAACTGGACACGCCCACGTGATTCTGGAGTCAGCGGGCCGTGCTTTCTTCCTGCTCCAGACTAAAGTAAACAAGGAGGGTGGCAACCAGGAGGTGGAGATTGCCCGCTGCCATAAGGGACAGTACTTTGGGGAGCTTGCCCTGGTGACCAACAAGCCCAGAGCGGCTTCTGCTTATGCTGTGGGAGACGTCAAATGCTTAGGTAAGAAACTCCTTATACATTAATACTTCTTTTCTTGCATGCAGTGCTTTTTTCTCATCAGCCAGCCTCGGCTTATATCCGGGTCTGGCATCTAGGCTGGGGCAGTTTAGTGTGACCAACCAGAAATGAGTGACTGTTTTCTCACCAACATTTCTCGGCACTGACATCGCCTGTGGACAAGACAGGCTGCCCCTCAGAGGCTGGGGATGGACCAGAGTGTGAAGAGAAAGCGGGCGTCCAGGGCTGTGGGGCGGAGAGCAACAGCTGCCGGGCTCCGCAAAGTCTCAAACCCCGATGCCACCGCCCTGCTGTGCTCCCGTAGAAGTGCCCCTTCTTTTCCCAAGTGCTTAGTGCCCCCGTCTAATCCCGTCACGTGAATGTATGTGTGGAAGAAGCGGTTTGCAGGGAGGAAATGGCTTTGAGTCGTTGGTCTGGAATTCATTATCTCTCTCCTCTCTCTCACAATGTAGTTATGGATGTCCAAGCGTTCGAGAGGCTGCTGGGGCCCTGCATGGACATCATGAAGAGGAACATCTCCCACTACGAGGAGCAGCTGGTGAAGATGTTTGGCTCCAGCCTGGATCTCAGCGATCCTGGGCAGTAGGTGTGCCGCCCCGCAGCCTTCTCAGCGTGACACCGAGACCTCCCGTCAGCCACAGGACACACACAGCAGACGCGACAGAACTGCTGCTGCCGTGGCTGTGGCCACGGGTGTTTAGGAAACATGGAAGTCAGCACTAAAGGAGGGTAGAGGTCCAACCCCCACCTCCACTTTGCTCTGAAAGCCTATTGTTAGACTTGTGATGAGTATTCCAGCCCAGTTTCACATCTTTGGTTCCAAACGGCATGTCTCTCCAACAATTAAGTGCCTGATACAAAGTCCAAAGTGTAACGTCTCCCTTTCCTCTCCTGCTGCTGCTGTTGCTCTAGGAAGTTAGCACAGGTCTGCGCAGCCTGTGGCATAACTGTCCGCAGCCTCGCCCGGCCCTTCTCAAGGGAGGAACACTGCAGCCTTCCATCTCGTGTGTCCTTTGAGGAGTCCACGTGTGTTCACAATTGTAGCCTTTGGTTTTACAGTGGGAAATGCTGGCAGTAAGACGGAGGCCTGTGGTCCTGTGGCATTGTTCTGTCTGCGGAGAGCTGCACACGTAACAGCTGCCTCCCAACTCGCAGTGATGCTTAGGGGACGGCCCTGCCCGGGCCCAGCGGGTCAGCACCGAGCACGCTGACTGGTCCTTGGGGCCCATGTTAGAGCAGGACCTTTGGGTTTGGTACTTTCTTCAGGTAGAAGAACGGGAAGGTTTTCTGGGTTGGGGAGGAGGAGTTCTTTTAGGTTTTGTTTTGTTTAATCTCTGTGCAGTTTGCATGAATAAATTGCTATCCGTTTATAAGGAGCCGGGGCCTGGAGGTGCCATCACTTTATCTGACCCATCACTTTCCTGGATAATTCCTGCCACCCCAGTTGCCAGGTGCCTCTCCTGGCTCGGCAGGGTGCCAGCAAGAGGTGGTACTGCAAAGAGCCTTGCTTTCTGCTCCAGCACCACCTAGCTTCGCTGTTGAACCATCCGTTTTTAAACTCTTTAAAAGAAGCAGCAGCTATTTTTTGAAATTAAAACGATATTTCTCTATTTAGGAATTCCCCTTGGATACATTCATATATATCAGTTTGTCAGCTGACTCAGGCTTTTATTCTAAAGACCAACTCTTTGTTAGTTTTCAAAACTCGGCATCATTTTCAATTTTGTAGAATTACTGCGAGGGCCTTTCTAATTAAGATATTAGGATATTTGGGGTTCCAGTTGATCCCAAAGGAAGGTAATTTAGCTTGTATTTTAAAACTTTTAATCATATCAGGTAGAATTCTGATGAATTATCCTAATTAACTAGATATATTTCAGAATGAAATTTTTTCTTCAGAATGGCTTAAAAACAGATGTTAGAAGCGATCCTAAGAGCAGTGTGAAATTTGCATTGTAGCCAAGTTTATATTAAATCAAGAGGCCCTTTCCAATACGATTTTTTTAGAACTTGTATAACTCAGTAAGTCCCTAGGAGGTGACATGCTGGGGCTTCGTTGTCCCTGCTGTGGACGCTGACTGAGCCACGTGAGCCACGTGAGCCACGC